TTTTTATTTTCTTTAATAGTATCAACAAAGATAGAATAGAGAATTTTAAATGATTCCTATAATATCTTATATAACGCTAGTATTAGAAGAAAACATAAATTCAAGTATATCATCAAATATATAATATAATCAAAAAATAAACAAAAAAATAAAAATAATAATAATAATTATTTAAATAAATAAAGAAAAACTATAATATAATAAATAAACCTCTTTGTATATAAAAATAAAATTTTATATTTCAAAAATAAACAATAAACAATTTTTTTTTAATAATAATCAAATATATGTATCAAAATATACATACATAAAAATTTATGGAACTTTTTGATATGATACCATATTCTATTAGTAGTGTTTGTGATTATACCACATCAGCATCATCAACCACTACTTCACCAACCATTTCAGTTATAGCTAGCAATAGTAATAATAATAACAATAACAACATTAAATCATCATTTTTAAATACAAGTAATAATAATATTGAAATTAGACATTCAATTTCAACCCCAGCAACCCCAATGACACATAGCGTTACTTTTAATTTAAATCAACCATTAAATAGTATTAGTAATAACAATAACAATAACAACAATAATAATAATAATAACAATAACAATAATAATATAGATATTTCACCATCAATTTCGGGCCAAAATAATTACAATATTATTAGTGTTTCACCAAAAAATATACCTGATATACTTATACTTAGTAAAGAATACCAATATTGTAATACAACATTTATTAATACAAATAATAATTCAAAACAAGATTATAATCCACTAAAACATTTATATGACCCTCCATCACAACCACAAACACCAACCCAACAATCACAATCAGCATCAACACTTTTCGACAATGGAGATACTTTAAGTTTAAATACTTCAACTTCTTCAACTACAACATCATATAGCAATGAACAAAGTTCAAATTCAACCAACTTTGATATAGAGAACCCAACCCAACAAAGAAAAAGAAGCACATCATTCTCAATGAAAAATTTAAATATTCTTTCACATCAAGTTGCTGGTCAAGCACCATTATTAAAATTACCAGATGGTAAAATTTTAAAACCTTTAGTTCCTCAAGAATATCAGTTCTATGAATCATTGAAATATCATCAAGAGTTTATTGGTTTCACCCCAAAGTTTTATGGCATACTCGATTTAAAGAATTATGATTTAAAATATTTAGAGGAGACATTTAAATCACATAATTGTAATTCAATCGATTATAACCATTGGAGAAATAAAACTATAAATTTACCAAAAGATTGCCAAAATTGTAAGTAATTTATAAACTATAACAACCATATCTTTTTTATTTATTTATTTTTACTAATATTATTTTATTTTATTTATATTTACAGTGTATATTAAAATTGAAGATTTAACTTATTTATGTAAATATCCCTGTATATTAGATCTTAAAATGGGCACAAGACAACATGGAGTCGACGCACCCATCGAAAAAATAAGGAAAATGGAAGAGAAATGTAAACTAACAACATCTGCTCCATTGGGTTTTAGAGTGTGTGGACTTAAAGTAAGTTATTATAATCACTATCGAAATAATTTATTTTTTCAAAAACTAATATTAATTTTTAATTTTTAATTTTAGGTATATGATCAAAAACAAGGTTCATACACAACATATGATAAATTTTATGGAAGAAAATTAAAGGTTTCAGATATTCCAACAGTTATTTGTAAATATGTAGACAATGGTTTAAGACATAGAACCGAAATTTTAAGTGGTATAGCGAAAAGATTGTATCAATTAATATCACTCTTTGAAAGTCAAAAATGTTTTAAACTTTATGGGGGTTCTCTTTTAATTATCTATGATGGACAAAGTACAAATCTTCAAGATGCCAAAATTAATATCAAAATGGTCGATTTTGCAAATGCTTCACCTAATCACAGTCACAACAATAGCAACGATGTTAATACTTTAGATGAAGGTTATCTTTTTGGCTTGAAAAATCTTTTAAAAATAGTTAATAATTTGGTGCAAATATCGAACACAAATATAGGTGAAACCATTTAAAAACAAGAAAAAAAAAAAAAAAAATATAAATTAAACTGTATAATCGAAAAATATAAATGACAAATCCAAAATATAAACCAAATATATAAAACAATAAAGTTTTTTAATTTCTATTATTTATTCAAAAAAAAAAAATTTTTTACTTTCCTTTTTTCTTTTTTTTTAATAATATAATATATTTGTATTATTTATTATTTAAGTAATTGGCTATTGACTTTTTATATAATGATTTAAATGATTTTGGGTCAACTATTTTAATAATATGTACAAGTTTATCGATTTCTTGAGATTTTGATATTAAATCAGAGTATTCGACTTCGGATTGATTTAGATATATTGTATGCAAAGAGTCTGGGATTGATACAATTTGTGATAATGGCCCAGTAAAGATTAAAACTTCTACATTAAGATCTTTATCTATTATCATATGCCCACAAATTTCTAAAATTTTTAAGTCTTTGGGTAATTGCTGCAGTTGTTGATGATTCAAGAAATTATTTGCAACTGAGGCTGTTAGACATGATAACATTGAAGATGCTATAAACATATCATATCCATATTTTAAAAACTGAATGTGTGGAGGTATATTAAAATCCTTATGTGATGCATAGGGGCTTTGAAATTGCATATCAGTAACTGATTGTGGTATTTGAATGTGGTCATAGTTTGTTGGGCTTGAAAATGAGGTCATTATTTTTATTGATGTTAAACTCTTTAAAGTTGTTAGTGGTGGGCAATTTTCTGATAGATTTTCAAACTTTAATTTTGTTAATGTTGTTGGGAGTTGATCTGGCTGTTTGAATGTATATTTTAAAAGATTTGGAGGAAAAATAAAGTTCTTTTGTAATGTACAGCTTGAATTTAAAGACAGAAACTCTACACTTGGTGGTATTATATTGCATTTTAATTCGTGGGGTGATAAAAATAGTAGTGTTAGTTTTTTAACTCCATTTGGTAGATAGTTCTCGACTAGTTGTTTGTCATAAACAAAGAGCTTTAACTTTGTTATACTACTTGGGTAAACATTGGAACCACAGTCTCCTGTCGTAAGGGACTCAAGACTCGAGGGAAGAACACCAGGTCCAAATGGCTTGCAATAGTTGTGTATATTTAAATGGGTTAAATTTGGTAAGGTATTTTGATGAAATGGATAGCTAAACCCTGAACCGATCCTTAAATATTTTAAATTCTTTGGTAAAACATTTTCTTCAAAAGGTTGATTATAGCTAAATAGAGTAAGACTCGTTAGTGATTCTGGTAAAATTTGCTTTTCAAATTTTGTATTGAAATGAGGATCTTGAAATTCCAGTGTCTCTATTGTGTTACAAAATATATTGGCTCTTAATTGGGTATCGAAAATATTTGATAGAGTTAATGAAACTAATCCATTGACACTTGAAAGTATTTCTTCAATATCAAACCTATTTGAAAACTCTGATTCTAAAACCAATTTTTTTATTTTTCTACCTTTTAAATTTGCTTTAATAATTTCATTAAAATGATTTCTAAGTATAAAATTAATTTCTAAATTAACAATTGGTTCTTCCATTATAAAATCTAAATTATTATTGTTTATTAATTTATAATTATTTTGTATATTATTATTATTATTACTATTATTATTATTATTATTGTTGTTGTTATTATTACTATTGTTATTAAGTGCTTGGTTTAATTTATTCCCTCTATTTAATAATATGTTTTGATGGTCAGATCTTAGTGATCTGACATTTTTTATATTAAAATTATTATTTTTTTCGAAACTTCTTTTTAAAACCATTTTAAGTGAATCTAAATTTGATGGTAATAAATTTAACCCATATTCGAAATCATTAATTGTAATTGAGGCAGATTTGAAATATTGATAATATGGATAACTCTTGAATTGCTTTGATATATTAAATCCATTGAATTCTAATTGCTGTGGAATATGTGAATGAAATGAATAGAGTCTAAGGTGAAATAATATTTGGTTACGAATTACAACATTTTCCCAAACTTTATAAAAATCATTATTATTATTATTATTGTTTAAATTATTATTATTTTTATTTTCATTATTATTATTTTTATTTTTATTATTATTATTATTATTATTATTGTTATTATTATTATTATTATTATTATTCATATTTATTATAATAAAATATTTAAATAGAATATTGTATTAATCTATAATACAATAAAAACTAAAACCATATAAAAATTTAATATCTGTGTAAAAAAATAAAGAAAAAAAATAAAAAACAAATTAAAAAAATAAAAAAATTAATTTAAAAATATTAAAAAAATTAATATAAAAATAAAAAAAAAAAAAACAATAAATACAAAAAAAGAAAACAATTATATTTAAAATAAAAAAAAATATAAATAGACAAAAAAAAAAAAAAAAACAATATAATTATTTATAACTTTTTTTGATGATAAAAATACTAAAAAAAATATGGAAAAATAGATATGAATATACATTCATTATTTTTTTTTTCATTTTTATTTTTTTTTCATTTTTTTTTTTAAATTTTTTTTTTTTTTTTTTAAATTTTTTTAAATTTTTTTTTTTTTTTTTTTTTTTTTAAATTTTACAAATAGCCAAAGATAAACTATAGTATTAAATTATTATACTAAAGTTCAAATTAAATTATCAAAAAAAATAACCAATTAAGGTAAATATCTTAATATATAAAAAATATCAAAATAAAAACAATTGTCAATAATATTTTAAACAATTTAAAATCACACACAAATTAATTTTAATTCATTTATTTATTATTTTAATTTATTAAATCTATAACTTACACATACAAATAACAACATGCACATACACATACACATACAAATAATATTCATAATGCACATACACACACATATATATGTATAAATAAATTTAAAAAAAAATTTTAATTAATCTAATAATAAACCAATTTTTTTTAGATTTTTTTTTTTGATTATTAAAAAGCAAAAGTAAAAAACAAAAATGAGTTCTTTAAATTGGGCTGATGAAACAGAAAATGAGGAAAGAGAAAATGAAATGAAATTACAATCTCAACCAGAACCAGAACCAGTTGTCGAAAAACAAGAGGAACCAGTTGCAGTTGCACCAGAAGTTGATGAAGAACCAAGAGAGTCCTATGATGATCAAAGATCAAATGAACAAAAACAATATCAACACTACCAAAGAGATGATAACAGACAAATGAATAACAATTATAATAGAGACAATCGTCAACAATATAATAACCAAAACAGAGGCGGATATCAACAAGGTGGTTACAACAACTACAACAGACCACAACAACAACAAGGAGGTTATCAACAACAAAATAGATACAATAACCAACAACAAGGTGGCTATAACAACTACAACAGACCACAACAACAACAACAACAACAACAACAAGGTGGTTATAACAATTACAATAGACCACAAAACGGTCAAAACAATTACAATAACCAAGGCGGATATACCCGTGCAAACTCTATTAACTATAGAAGAAATGAAGTTTTAATCACTGGTTACAATGAATCAATCACTAAAGAGCTTTTACAAGATATCTTTAGAGACGCAGCTATCGAATATTTAGAATTTACCTATCAACCAAAAGAAACCATTGTACAATTAAAAGACTCTGAAAACTATCAAAAAGCTTTGAAATTACAAGGCTTTGTTTTAGAAGAAGTCCCAATTTCAGTTGTTAACTATTCAAGTAATATTTGTTTTAGATTAATTTTTAAATTTTTCGATTTTGATTATTAATAGTTATTTTATTTTTTAGGAAAACCACAAAACCAATATCAACAACAAACCCATCAACCAAACTGGAATCAACCACAAGATAAACAATTCCAACCAAATCCAAATTCAAAAGTTAACCCATTTGGTGATGCAACCCCAGTTGATACAACTAAAACTTTTGGAGGTCAACCACCACAACAACAACAACAACCAATCCAACAACAACAACAACAACCAATTCAACAACAACAACAAAACTTCTATACTCCATCAGGTGATAAGTACAAACCAAACTCAATGAAACAAGGTTTCAATAAACAATACGACAATAAATATGACAACAAAAATAAATTCAATAAATCCTTTAATAAACCTGATCAACAAGGCTGGCAACAAAATGGTCGTCCAAAACAACCAAAAGAACAAAAAGAAACACCACAACCAGTTGTTAAAACTGGCAATGTAAGTTTTAACTATATTAGTATAGAAACCTACATAAGATATTAATTTATTTATTTTATTTTAGAATATTTTCGATGTATTATGTGAAGACGATGAAAATTAAACAGATTAAAAAAAAAAAAGAAAAGATATATTTAAATATATATATTTATATATAAAAATCCCAATTAATTCAATATTAAAATAATATCAAATCTCTAAATAACCAAAAAAAAAAAAAAAAAAAACTCAACAAAAACCCTTTTTTTCTTTTTTTTTTTTTAAATTGGATCTTCACTACCCCCTTTTAAATTAAGAAAAATAAAAAATAAAAAAAATTAAAAAAAACAAACCAAAATAAATAAAATATTTATTTTATTTAATCGAAAGTTATATTATTTCTATTTTAATCTTTTAAAAATAGGTCGTTTTTTAATTATTTATAATTATGAAAATTTTATTATTTATTTGTAAATATCTATTTTAATAATCACTGTTTACCACACGCTAACACTATCATTTGGAATCTGCGATAATGTGGAAAAATTTTTTTTTACATTGTCAGTTAATTTAGATCCACCCCAAAAAAAAAAAAAAATAAAAAAATAATAAAATTTTAATTTTTTTTTTTTAAAAAAAATCTTTTTATTTTTTATTTTTTATTTTATTCAATTCATTTTCTTTGTACAAACAAGCCAAAGATAACCTATTTATATATATATATTATTTGTATTTTTAAAAAGAATTGTTTTTTTTTTATTTTTTAAATTTTTATTTTATTTTTTATAAATAAATTTGTATTATTACTTTTTTTATATATTATCATATAAATATATATAAATCATTATTTTTTTTTTTTAAAAACTATATAACCACAATTTAAAGAAAAAAGGAAAAAGAAAAAAGAAAATGTCAATTTCATTAAAGATTAATATTGTTGGTTCAAATACCATCAAAACATTAAGATTTTCACCAGATATGTGTATTCAAGAATGTTGCACCCACATTTTCGAAAAAACACATGAAGGTGGTCCAGATCATGGTCTTTATCAACCAGCAGTCGAAGGAAAACAATCAGCAAGATGGTTATCAATGGAAAAAACATTAGCTTTCTATGACATCAATTCAGATTGTCAATTAGACTATAAAAAGAAACATAGACCACAGAAATTTAAATTACTCGATCAAACAATTAAAACTCAATTAATCGATGAAAGTACAAATGTTTCTGAAATTGTTAATTTCATTTGTAAGAAAATGGGTATTAAAAATCCAGAGGAATATTCTTTAATGAATTCAAGTAAGTAATGGTAAAATAAATAAATAAATAAATAAAAAAATTGTAACTAACATATTGATATCAAATTTAGATGGTCAATGGTTAAATTCAAATCAAATTCTTTCAGAACAAGGTATTTCAGAAACTGATATTACAGTTTTAATGAAAAAGTTCTTTTTCAATGATGCAAATATTGACAGAAATGATCCTGTTCAATTACATCTTTTATTTGTTCAATGTAGAGATGGTATCATTGAGGGTAAATATCCAACTCAAAGAGAAGAAAGTTTAGCTTTGGCTGCTCTTCAATGTCAAGTTTCACATGGTGATTATAACCCAACTAAACATACCAGTGGATTTTTAAAGTATTTATCGAAAATTTTAAACTATATTCACACATAAATATTAATATTTAATTTTTTTTTTTCTTTAGTTTAAAAGAATATTTACCACTTCAATGGGTAAAATCTAAAGGTGCAGAAAAAGATATTTACAAAGAATATAAGAAATTAGTTAATATGACCGAAGTTAATGCTAAATATAGATATGTACAATTATGTAGATCATTAAAGACTTATGGTATGACATCCTTTGAAGTTAAATTAAGAGAATATGGTAAAAAGAAGATGGTCGACCATATTTTAGGTATTACTAGAGAGTCAATGATGTTAATGTTGGTAGAAACTAAAGAAATTGTCATGACCCATCCATTAAAACATATTAAGAGATGGGCTGCTACAGAAAAGAGTTTTACTTTTGATTTTGGTGACCACGAAACTGAATATTTAATTCTTTATACCCCAAGTCCAGAACAAATTTCTCAATTAATTTCAGGTTATATCGAAATTATTATGAAATCAAGAAAGGATTCATCAAAGGTTATTGAACAAAATGATACTGCAGTTGGTGTCGAAGAATCAGTTGCAATCAAAAGAGGTAATGTCGCACAAAGTTCAACATTCATGGGTTATGGTGGTAATGGCGGTGGTGCTCCACAATTATCACCATCCCAACAAATTCCAATCACTGATTTAAGAAGTGCTCTTCGTGCTACCGATTTATTAATTGGTGAATTAAATAGTTTTAAATCTGGTTCTAGTAATGCTCAACAATTCACTCGTTCATTCACTACTCTCACTCCACAACAATTTAAACATCAATTAATTACCCATACCAATGCCATTGCCACAGCTGCTAATGGTTTATTCCAAGATATGAACTCTCCACCACCATCAGGTGGTGTTGCTGCATTCCAACAAGCAATCACCAAACGTGCTCAAATTATTATGGCAGAATTAAATACTGTTGGTACTAGTGCCAAAAATGCTGCCTATTTCCCAGATTTAGCTTCATTCTCTGATGAAATTATCAATTGTGCAACTAAACTCTCAGAATCTATGTCACGTCTTCTCAGTGTTTCATCAACTATTCAAGGTGATAAAATCGATGATAAGGGTCGTCAAATAGCCCAAACCGAAATCTTTAATGTTGCTGCACTCGCAACCATGATGATGGCTGTTTGTGATAATGAATATGTCACTGAAAGCAGTAGCAAACTTTTAATCGAATGTGCTAAAAATGTTTCAGCTGCCATCGCTGATATGTTATTAGTTGGTCAATCTAAAGTAGAATTAATCGATGATGAACTCTTATTCAATCAAATCGAAAATGCAATTAAAACCACAGCCCTTACTGCTGAGGAGTTAATAAGCACCACCGAAAATCTTGCTTCAACATCATGTCATGCTGAATCACGTAATAAAATTAACAGTATTACTCAAGCTTGTCTTACTCATTCAAGCACTCTTTTAACAGCTTTCAAATCAGGTGAAATTCCAGAAGCAGATTACAATCTTTTACAAGCTAAAGTTGCAGATATTATCGATACAATTGGACTTATTAATTATGCATTGGATTGTTCAGAACAAGAACATAGAATTTCAATTACTGCAAATGGTGTTGAAGTTGGTGGTGCTGAAATTCTTGCAGGTACCAATCTTACTGAAGAGTTTGCCACAGTTTCAACAGATCTCACCAATGCTATTATGGTTATGAGAACCAACCTTAAGAACCCAGACTCTGTTTTAGAATCATACAAAATTATCGCAGGTATTGCAAATCGTTTAATTGGTTGCACTAAAGCAGTTGCTTCACGTGCTGATTCTCAATCACAACAACGTCTTTTCAATAGCACCAATGCAGTATTCGAATCCGTTGCAAATCTTTCAAATCACTGTCGTTCTTATATAAAGAACCCAGAACAAGAATCTCATCAAGTTCATATTATGGAAACTGCAGGTCATCTTCAATTCCTCACTCAAAACATGGCTACTGATGCTGGTAAAATTGCATGTATCACTTCACTTCGTGATTACTCCAAGGAAATGATTGCTCATGTCAGTTCATTAGTCAGTACATCTCGTACATCAGCTCAATATCTTCCAGATGCCAATGGAATTTCATTAATGAAAAGTTCTAAAGATGTCTCTGAAGCTTTGGCTAAATTAATGATTGGTATCAAGAAAGTAGTACAAGATCCAAAATCAGAAGCTGTACAAATGGAGTTATTAACTCTTTCACAAAAACAATCTTTACCACCAATGAATTTAGTTTCAGCAAGTAAGAGATTTGCACCAAAAATTAGCGATCCAAATCAAAAACAAAAACTCATTTTCGCTTCAGATTCAGCTGCTCAATCAGTTCAAAAATTAATGAAAGCTGGTGAAGCCTATAAAAAGATTTGTGGTCATATCGAAATTGAAGAAGCTTTAGAAGCTTTCGATTCAACCATTGCAGATTTGGAAACCACTGAAATCGCTATTGCTGGTGGTTTCTTAGATAGTGTTGCTGGTACAACCCGTGAAGGTGCAGCTGAATTATTATTGGTTGCTATCAAGAATTTAAATAGTGCCAACAATGAATTGGTTACTGAAATTCGTGTTAATCCAAGTAAATTAGGTGATTTAGTTAAAGAAACTACCGAAGCTGCCACATCAGTTGCCGTTTCAGCTAAAACATTAATTTGTGCTACTCAAGGCAAACAAGCTCAAAAGAAACTTATGGGTATTACAAAGCAACTTATGAACGATATGGAACAATTAATTCGTGCTTCAAGATCAGTTGCTACTAATGTTGGTGACCCAGCTTCTGAATTACTTTTAGATGCTGCCACTGGTGATGTTCAAGTTAGCATTGCTTCATTAGTTGGTTCAACTGTTAATGTCGATTGTAAAGAGCTTGATGAAGCTGCCAGCGATATTGCAAATATCTTATCATTAAAATTAGCTTCAGTAGATTCAATTATTACTCAACCAACCGAAGAATTGGAATACTATAACGAAGAAATCCTTTCAACTAACAAAGCTTTAGTCGCTGCAACTCAACAAGTTGTTGCTATGGCTCGTAGCAAAAACTTAAAAGGTTTAGGTGCATCTGCTAAAATCACAGCTGCTACTTTAACCACTTTAATTAACCATGCTGGTAATGCAATTGTATTAAATGAAAACGATGGTGCAAAACAAGCCATTCTTGCTTCAACTGTTGCCCTTGGTAATCAAATTGTTAGTCTTTTAGATTTCTCTAAAGCTCGTATTGCCAACAACAAGGATCCAATTTATGACCAAAATTTAGTAAGTGCTTCACAATCTGTTGAAGATCATATTGCCAAGGTTACTCGTTCATTAGGTGGTGTTGGTAATAACACTTTATGTGATGAAGCTGTTGACCGTATCATTGAAGCTACTCGTCTCTTAGACCAAACTATTTTACCAGATACCAGTGGTTCACAAACTACAAATGCTCTTGAAATGCAACATCAACAACAACTTTTAAGTATCACTGAACACTCAAAGAAACTTGGTACTATTACCTCCAATATTGTTGCTCAAAAGAGTAATCCAGATCTTGTTGGTCAAGGTTCAACTGAAGCCGCTGAATCAGTTGCTGCTTTAATCGAAGCCGCTAAATCTGTTATTCTTTGCTCAATTTCAACTGTATCACCAGATATTTTGCTTCCAGCTAAAAACATTTTAGATTCAACTGCTTTAATTGCATCAAATCAAAACGATGTCGCTCATGTTATTACAAATGCTCGTACTGTTGCCTCATGCACCAGCCAACTTTTGGGTATTACTAAAGAACGTGCTGCCGCTTTTGATGAAAACAATGAACAACAATTACAAGTTCGTGAGTCAATTGTTAAATCAACTCAACAATTGGCACTTGCTACATCTAATTTAGCTCGTGGTGTTAAATCCGTTACTTCCAAAGAACCAGGTGGCAATGCTATGCTCTCAGTTGCTTTGAAAGATCTCGAAACAGCTACTAGTCAATTATTAATTACCTCATCCATTCCAGCTACAGAACGTGGTATTGGTGTTGCTGATTTCGAAAAACTTTTAGCTACTTGCCGTTCAGTTTCAACTGCTTCATCACAATTCATTATTTCAGCTTCATCAGCCTCATCTAAACCAAAAGATATTGAAGCTTCATCCATTTTAGCTGAAAGTGCTAGCTCAATGACCAGTTCACTCAAAGATATCATCAAAGTTACCAGCTCAATGATGCCAGGTGTTAACTTCTGTGAAGAGGCTATTGAAATTTCACAACGTGCAATTAGTGATCTTTCAACCATGGCTCTTTCAGTTGCTGTTGGTTCATTTGATGGTACAAACTGCAACCGTGATAACCTTTCACATGTTGAATCACAAGAAAAAATGGTCGAAATTACTAAAGAAATTGGTACCGGTATTAATGATTTATTAAAAGCCTCAAGACAATCACCAGAAGCTATTGGTATTTCAGCTAAAGCTCTTTCATTCATCGCTCCACACCTTGTTAACACTACCAGAACCACCCTTGCAACCACCCAAGATGCTGATGTTCAAAATGATTTAATTACTGAAGCTAAAAATGTTGGTGATAGTATCTTAAGATTATGTCAAGCTTCATTTGCTGCTTCATCAAACCCATCAAAGGAAACCTATCAATCAATTGTTAACAAATGCTCAGATGCCTCCGAAGCTATGAACAAATTAGTTGCTCAAATTTCATCAGGTGTTAATCTTTACAAAGATCTCGATGAATCATTGGATAAAATTCGTAAATCAGTTGTCCAAACCTCCATCAAAGATGTCGTTAAAGAAGGTGAAGGCAAGAGTTACCAAGAATACAAAGAAGAAATTTCCAATCTTTCAAAGAATCTCGCCATGTCCATTAAAACTGTTGTTGCTACTGACAGTAATAATTTAGTATCAATTTCAACCATTTCAAAAGATATTGCCAAATATATTTCTGATATTGCCACTGTCACTACTGCTATCCTTACCACCACTAGTGACCAAAAGATCAGAGACTCAATTATTACCAACTCTAGACAAGTTATTCAAAGTACTGGTGATATTATAAATCAAATCAAGACCAACTCTACCGACAAAGCCAATGCTTCACAATCTAAAGTTAATGATGGTTATCGTCAAACTACTGAAAGTATCACTCGTTACCTTCAATCACTTAAACAAGGTGCTATTGGTGAAATTCTTTCAGATGCTGCTATTGACAATATTCGTAAAGTTATCTCAGATCTTGATGGTTATAGTTTATTCGCTGCTGCTGGTCAATTAGAAAATGATCAATCATCACAAACCACAATGAACGAAAGTGCCAAACAACAACATCTCAAAAATCTTCAAAAAGATATTATCCTTCAATCAAAGATGCTTATTGTTTCAGGTTCTCAATTAGTTGGTTCATCTAAAGGTACTCAAGAACATCTTGGTGCTGCTACAACTAAAGTCGCCTCAACTGTTGCTGATTTAGTTAAAACTGCTAAAGATATTGCCTCAGTTCTCTCAGACCATGAATCACAAGAAGATATCCTTGGTGCATCAAAAGCTCTTTCAATCTCTTGTCAACAAATGGTTTTGGCTACAAAAGATGCCCAAAGATTCAAAAAAGATGCCACTGCATTCCGTTCACTTGGAAAATCTGCTGAAGCTATTGCTGAAGCTGTAGGCCAATTCCTTACTTCAATTTACACTGCTATTGCTGATGCTGGTAAAGGTATTAAAGAACTCGAAAAATCAATTGTCCAAGTTTCATCATACCACGAAAAACCAGAAGCTGTTCTTAGTAATAAAGATGCTACTGCTGAAACCCTTGCTCAATCCGCTAGAGATTTGGCTAAATCATCAATTGATATTGTCACATCCTATCAAACTTCACAAGAAGATCTCGTTAAATCATCACAAACTGTTGTTGAAAATGTTAAATCTTTCATTGCTAATTCCAAACATGTTGTATCACTTTTAGGTCCAAATGATGAAGAACTTAGAAACAAAGCTAATGAAAAAGTTAAAGCCACCACTGGTGATATTCTCAATCTTATGAAAGCTGTTAAAGATCAAGATAAGAATGGTACAGCTGTTATTTCAGATTGTAGCCGTGCAATTGCCGAGGGTGTTCAATCACTTGTATCTCTTTCTAAACAACTCCCAGGTGGTCAAAACATTATTGTCGAAGATGATGTTCTTGAAGATCTCGAAGCTCTTGCTGAAGATGAATTAATGGCATGTGCTAGATCAATTGAAGAAGCTACTGCTAGACTCTTAGCCTCTAGACCAGAGTCTAAAGCTAAGCATGGTAAGATCGATGCAGAAGGTATTGCCGCTACAATTGTTGATGCCTCTGGTTCCATCGCAAAAGCTGTTGCCAAACTTGTTCACAGTGCCGCTGTTGCTCAATCAAAGAGAAGAGAAGACCAAATTGCTACAGGTAGTGTTTACAAACAAGATCCAACATGGTCTAATGGTTTAATTTCCGCTGCTAAAAGTGTTGGAGCAGCTACACATCGTTTAGTTGAAGCTGCTATCAAATCAGCCAAAGGTAATGCAGAAGAAGAAGAACTTATTGCTACAGCCCGTGCTGTTGCCGCTGCCACTGCACTTTTAGTATCTGCTTCACGTGCCAAATCTGGTGATAATTATCAACAACAATCAGCACATCACCATCTCAGCCAAGCTGCTAAACAAGTCGCTTTAGCTACACAAGATTTAGTTGCTGCTGCTAAAGCTGCCACTATGTTTGAAGAACAACAAAAAGAAGAAGAAGACCAAGAATATGGTTTCACTGGCTCTAAAGTTAAAGAACTCGAACAACAAATGAAGATTTTGAAATTAGAAAAAGAATTAGAATCTGCAAGAAGAACAATGTTAAATTCAAGAAAACAAAATTATAAAAAATAAAAATAACTAGTTTTAATATTAATATAAAAATAATAAAATATATGTAAATAAACTACTCTTTTATATATTAAAAAAAAAAATTTATTTAGTTTTTAATAAATTTTGAAATAAAAAAACCAATAGTACCTATATTTGCATCGGATGGATCATACCTTTGAACCAATTTACGTTGTTGATCATCTAAACCACAGTTTTCTAAACCAATTTGGGAGATATGAGGTGTTTGCTCAACTAATTTCATATTTGGATATTTGTTTAAAACATAGGCAACATTTAATTCATTCTCTTCTGGATTTATTGTACAAGTTGAATATACCAATGTTCCACCCTCTTTTAATAAACCAACAGCAACATCCAATAGCTTTTTCTGAAAATCTGAACAATTTTGTAAATCTATTAATTTAGATGTTTCTATAAAACGTGGCTTTGAACCTAAACCTGAACATGGGCCATCTAAAAGAATTTTATCAAATGATCCCTCTTTAAATATAACCTTATCTGATGGGTCTTGTTGATGCTCTTTTAATAATTTAGATGAATCTCTTGAATAACATTTTACAAATGAATCTAATGATAATTTTTTACACAAGTCTAAAACTTTTTTAACCTTTCCTTTATTTTTATCCAATGCTATAATTTCTGTAGAGTTATTACTTGGTTGTTGGTCGAATTGTTGCTGGATTAATGATGCGATTAATGTAGTTTTACCACCTGGTGCTGCACACATATCCAAAATTCTATCACCTAATTTTGGCTCCAATTGATAAACTGTCATGAGTGATGGTAGATGTTGAAGGAACATATTTTGCTCCAATACACCATTTAAAGGTGGACAAAAGAATAGTCTTTCTGTCATTTCGATACCTACACCTGTTTTTGTATTATTATATTCGCTTCTATCTAATAAACTAATACCATTTCCTACAAATGCTGATTTTTCTTTAAAAACACCCTCGATTATTGAACCTTTTAATACCAATGAATCTAAATTTACAAATACTGAAACCATATCACCCTTTTTAATATATTTATTTGATGCTAAAATACCAACTGAAAATATATGGCTACCACGCAAAACTGCTTCACCACACATAATATCAACTATAATTTGAGGGTAGATTGGCAATGGTGTTTTTAAATTCTTTTCATTTTTTATGAATAATGTGTCATTTAAAATTTGTTTTTCTATTTCATTTGTTGTTGATGGTGATTTACTGTTTATAATTTCATTAAACTCTAATAATTTTTTAAAATGATTTCTATTTTCTAAATTCCTTTCATTTTCTTCAAAGTGGTTTATCATATCTTTTTTAAGTTGAGCTTTATTTGTTGTTTTGGAATTAACTCTAATGGTTGTATATAAAAATGCATCGGTCATCGATTTTTGAATTTGTTCCATTCTTTCTTTTCCATAATATTTTAATAAATGATTATAAACCTCTTGATCTTTGAACTCCATAAAACTATCATTATTAAACTCTTGATCACCATTTCCTTTAAAATTTATTATATTCATTTCATTTTCTATTCTTTTAATATCGAACCTTATTGATTCTGTCATGATGGTATTTTAAAATATAAAAAAAAATTTTAAAAAAATAATTGATAAAAAAAAAAAAAAATTTTTATTTGATTTTAAACAACCTATTAAAAATTCTTATTTAAATAATCAATCTAGTATTATAAATAATTTAGTTGATATTTAAAAAATATTTAAATAAATTATTATTTTGTTTTTTTTTTTTTAATTTTTTAAATTTTTTTTTATTTTTTTTTTTTTTTTAAAATTTTAATTTTTTAAAAACCGAACGAAATTATCATTTATTTTTAAAAAAGTAACAGAAATAAAGTAAAGATGGATATCACTGTAGGTTGTACATATGGTTTAAATAAAAGTATGTTTAATTCTTAATTTTTTTAAATAAACTAAAACAATATTCTAATATCTTTATAATTTGTTAGTTTATAATATCCATAAAAAACAACCAGTTGGATTATATGGTACTTTAGATAGCAAAAGCGAATTAAATGTTATGACCTATGGTTGGGAATCAGAAAATCAAGAAGATTATATTTTCTATGGTTATAATAATGGTAATTTAAAATATTTCAATAATAAAGAAAAAACATTAATTGGAGAGCTCAACTATGAACATTCAATTCAAGCTATTCACCCATTAAAAAACGATAAATTATTAGTAGCATTAAACAATGGTTCCATTGATGTCAAAACATTCTCTGAACCATTTACTTCACTTAAACCAATTAATTTACCAACTCTTAATAAAAAAAAACCAACCACAACTAAAAATAATAAAAACCAACCACAACCAGAACCAGTCAACACCCAAAGCTTTGTATTAAATGTTGCAAATAATATTGGTGGCTTTACAATGAACCCATCTAAAGATAAATTTGCATTTGGAGGTAAAGATGTAAACCTCACAATTTATGATTTAGAAACCCAATCCAAAACTTATACAGCTAAATTTAAACACGACTTTTTAAATATTCAAGAACCAGTTAATATTTTCGATATCAAATATATGAACGATGATAAAGTTATTATTGGTAGTGGTTTTAAACTTAAAGGTTATGACTTAAGATCAAAGAATAACAGAGATTCATTCTTAGATGTTTCATTTTCAAAAAATCCAATTCAACGTATTCAATATACATCACAAAAGGAATTGTAAGTAAAATATATTTTAATATGCGCGCAAGATGATATACTAATAGTTATCTCAATTATTTTTAATATAGTTACTTTTATGCATCAGATGCAGGTGGTAAATTATTCACATTTGATATTAGAACAGGTAAACATTGTGGTAGCTTTAAAGATAGTGTTGGTTCAATTAGAGATGTTCAAATTCATCCAACTTTACCATTATTAGCAACTGTTGGTTTAGATAGATTCCTTAGAGTATATAATTTAGATAGTAGAAAGATGTTACAAAAAGTATTTTTAAAACAAAGATTATCAGGTATTTTATTCTCTAAAGAAGAACCAAATGAATCCCAAGAAGATGAAGAACTTTGGAAGAACTTGGAAGAAAACAACAATATTGTTCAAGTTAAAGAAGAAAGTGGTAAAAGAGCAGTTAAAGTTAAAGTTACTGATAACATGGACAGTGATGATGAAGTTGATAGCGATGATAACAATGGTTTCGATGACGATGATAGCGATGAAGAAATGGATAGTGATGAAGATGGTTTAGATGGATCAGAAGAAGATGTTTCAGAATTTAATATCAAAAAAGAAAATGATGACTCTGATAGCGATGAAGATAATAAAAAATCTAAAGGCAATAACAAAAAGAAAATTAATAAAAAACCAGTTAGAAAACCAGCAGCTCCACAAAAGAGTAAAAGCTCACAAGTATTAAAGAAAAAACTCTCAGGTTTAAGAAAATTAAAAAAATAATAAATAAAAATAAATTTTAAAATAAAAATTTAATAGTAATTATAATTAACTTTTTTCAAAGGTGTCATATTTTCAATGAACATAACACACCACCCACCCTCCATAAATTTTATTTTTTTTGTTTTTTTGTTTTTTTATATACAAACACCCCACACCACCACAAATTTAAAAAATCTAGATATATTCGAATTTATATTTTTTATTTTATATTATCCCACACCCACTTTATAAAAATAACTTTTTATTGAATTAACAATTTAAAGAAAATTTAATTTTAAATTTGAGTTTTATAAAAAAGTATAAAAAATTTATTTGTTTTATTTTAAAAACCATTATTTTATTTATTTTTTTTAATTATTTATTTACTTATTTATTTGTTGTATATTATATATTTAAATAATATTTGTAATTGTAAAATAAAATGGAAGTAAATTTACATAGACTAATTAATGATGTAAACTATACATCTCACAATATTGTTGATAGAGTTGAAAGAGCTTTTGGAGGTAGTAAATTGGCTGGAGATGCCTTTAAAATTGGTGCTGGTCTCGGTATCCCCTTAGCATTAGGCTACGGTCTTCATAGATATGTCAGTGCTAGACATAAATTAAAAGAAAAGATCCCAATGAAACAACTAAAACATGGGGGTAATATCATTTCTCGTGTATTAAATAACCACAATATTAGGTATGTTGGCAGTAAAAACTATTTTCATTATTTAATTTAAATTTTTATTAAATTTATTAATTCTATTTTAATTTTAAAAACTACCAGATTTGCTTTTTCATTAAATGAATTGGATGAAATTAATACCATTGTTGAAAGCAAGTTTGAAAATAAAATGAGCATCATCCAAATGAAGAACTACAATAATGCAATTGTAGCTGCCAGTGGAGTTTTCAGAATGACTGGTCAGATTGGTGTTATTTTCTGTGCAAGTTCACCAGATATCATCACAATGATCAACGGAATTATTAGTGCAAAATACGAAAATATTCCATTGATTGTTATTGCCATCAAACCTATTTTAAATGAAAACTACTATGTAAGTTATTTAATTTTATTATAAATTGATTAATAATAAGTTTATTAATTTTTTTAATAAATTTTAGGATAAAAAAGTTTTAAAAAATTATTTCAAACACACCTACTCAATTAAAAACATTGGTGATATTAGTAATGTATTAGAAGAAGGTTTATCTAAAACACTAGATAGTGAAAATGCTTATTCAGTTTTCATTGAAGTCTCTCAAAGCCTTTTATTACCAGAAGATCAAACCAAAGAAATTATTGAAAACTATCAAAAATCAAGATGGTACTTTAATAGATTATGGGATGAATTTAGTGGCAGATTCAAATACCCAGCTGAGGATGACGAAATATCTTTCCACTATCCTAAAATCCGTCCAATAGAAAACCCAAAAAATAGACATGTAGATAATGTTCTTAAAAAATTATTAGAATCAAAAAACCCAATTCTTATTGTTGGTGACCAATGCTTGGTCTCCAATAATATTAGCAACAAAGACCTAAATATTGAAAGCTTAAAACTATCTATTCAATTGTTAGGTATTCCAACTTATCTCCATGGCTTCTCCAAATGTTTGGGTACAAACGATATTAGAAACATTGTTAATGACAACATGAGCTATGCTATTGAACACTGTGACCTTTTAATCTGCATTGGTGTATCAAGCCCCTCATTCCTTCAAGATCTAAACATCAATACCTTCAAGACCCCAGTATATTCAATTGAAGAGTTCCAATTACCATTAATTGGTCATAACAAACTTGGAATTGACTTTATTAATAGATATGCATGTGATCCAAGTGGTTTCTTGTTACATTTAGGTTTCGTTTTCCCTAAAGCATTTACAAATAGATGGAACAATTGGTTATTTGACTTAAAAGAAAAGTAAGTTTATTTTAATATCTAAATAATTATAATTAATTCTGTACTAAATATTTTATTATATTATATTTAAAAGGGATTCAATTGCAAGTTTGTTAATTGAAAAGAAAGGTGAAATTAAAGTTGACCATATCAATCCACATCTTTTGATCAAATCACTTAAAGATACATTCAAGAGATTAGAAAAACCACCAGTCATTGTCTCAGATAAAGGTGATTTTTGTGACTATGCAAACATTACATTAGGTGGTAGTGTTTTATCATGGGTTCAATCAAGTAAATTCAGCTCAAATGGAAGCTCCATAGGTTTAGCAATTGCCTCCAAACTTTGTTTCCCAGAAACAGATGTTTTTATGCTTTGTGATGAAAAATCAATAACCAACTGTGTTCAAGAATTTGGTACTCTTTCACGTTATCATTTACCAATCAACATTATCGTTGGAAATAGTGAAAAATCAATTTTCAGTAATATCCACTATAATCAAGATATTGTTAATTTACAATCAAAACAACAACAACAATTATTACACCAACAACAAATGCTTGATCATGCTAAACACAATGAAAATCAAAGAACTGCATACCATAAGATTATGAACGCTTATGGTGGTAAAGGTTTTATCATTTCCCACAATGACTCAACTAAAGATGATATTGAAAAAATATTATTTGATGCAAGAGTAAATATTATTTTTTTTTTCTAAAAATTTAACTTTTTTTTTTTTTAAAAAAATATAAACTAATTTTTTTTATTTTATTTTAACAGGAAAAATCAAACTCTTTAAATAGACCAGTTTTAATTAATTGTTGGGTTGATACACCAAAAAATATTATTGGTTCTGGTAGCATGTAAAAAAAAAAAAAAAAAATTTAATATTAAATAAAACCATTAATCTAAAAAAAAACCCATTTTTCTTTTTTAATTTATTTTATATATTTTGTGACAGCTGCACAAATAAATATATTTTATTTTTCTCTTTTTACACTTTTATTATTCAAATAAATATATATTAATAATTACACTCTTTTTTAATTTTTTTAAGATTAGATTTTAATATTGTTTTTTTTTTTTTATGTTAACTAAGACAGGGCTCCCCGAAAAATATAATCTTTATTTTTTTTTATTTAAATTTATAATATTTTTTTTTTTTATTTTGTGTCAAACATTTATTTTTCCGTTATGCCTTTTTATTTAGGCTTTCACGAAAAAATATTATTTTTTAAAATAAAATAAAAATAAACAAAAAAAAATTTTTACCAGAGGGCAACTGAAATTTAATTTTTTTTTTTTTTTTTTTTTTTCTGATCACACAGAAAACATAATAACACATTTTCACCTATCTATAGTTCACATAAAAAATAATATACATCTTTTTGTATAAATATATTACGTAGAGTTATATATTACGATTTTTTATTTTTTTTTTTTTTTTCGAAAAAAAAATTATAAAAAAACACAGTGATATATATTTATACCAGTATATATTTACCCACATTAAGAATAGATTAAATATATTTTTTTATCAATAAACTTATAAACTGTAGTTTTTTAATTTTTTTATTTATTTTAAATAAAAATTAAAAAAACAATAATAATTATCTGTAATTTGTAATATTTTTATAATAACAAATTAAAATATTATTATCTTTTGTTTATCTGTTTTTTTTTTTATTTTTTAAATTATAAATAATTTTGTTTTATTATTTTATTTTATTTTATTATTCCAAAATTTAAAATAAAAAAATGAAAAAATTTATTTTTGTACTATTATTTTTAATTAATATTTCAATAGGCTTTTCATCATCACTTAAAATCAATTGTTTAAATGAAAATGGAAAGCCAGTAGATTGGTGGGTAATTCAAAAGCAACCTGTTGTAAAAACAATGACAGGAAGATTCAAATCAGGTTTAGGTTATTTATATGCTGACGAAAATAACCCAAAATTTCAAGTACCATCAACCACAACACTTAATGATACCAATGCATTATCACACACTTTAAATCAAATCTATCAAAATAAAAACAGTGATGATCTTTTATGGTTCATGTACAACGACCAACCACCACAAGGTACAGCAGATAGTTATTATGCACATAGTAAGGGTGTTGTTGCTTTTACCGAAAATGAAGGTTTTTGGCTCATTCATAGTGTTCCACGTTTCCCACACGACCCAAATCACGAAGATTTTTATTATCCAAAGAACGAAATAAACAATGGTCAATCATTTTTATGTGTTTCGTATAATGCTGTTGACAACTTTGCAAAAATTGCCGAAAAGATTTTTGTAAATAGACCATTTATCTATGCCTTTAATATGCCATTGAATGTTAATCTTCCATCAACCTCAATTATCCAAAGTGTTATTAAGGGTAGTTATTCTAGTGTCTCGGTCACTGATGATACCATCCTCACCTCTGCCAAAGGAAATGAATTCCAAGTTTTTGCTAAAAATGCCGCTTGGGGTCTTGATCTTTATGAAGATTTAATTCAAGCAACTTTAAAACAAGATATGGTTGTAACTTCATGGAGATTGGGTAAAAAAACTTCAGTTGTAGGTTTTATTAGATATATAATTTAAAAAAAAAAAATTCACAATTTATTAATATTAAATTATTTTTTTTCCTATTATTTTATAGATGCCATCATATTGTTCAAATACTGGTAATTTCACCTATGATAGTATGAACACTTTAACCTTTTCATTTTATTCAGAATATGATGGTCAAGTCTCATGGAAATACACTAAAGATCACAGTAAATATGCCCTTTCTATTGACGAAGAGGAATCTTATATTTGTATTGGTGATGTAAACAGAATGTATACCCAATGGAGAAGAGGTGGTGGTTCAGCTTGTTTTGTCAATAAATCATTATGGAATTCATACAGAGATTTTATTGCAACAATTGATGGATGTGATAATGATAGCAGCTCCGATTATTATTAAATAAAATAAATAAAATATAATAAAAAAATAAATAAACACAAAAATAATTAATATCCGAGTTAATTACATAATAACAATAAAAATAATAATAATAAAATAATAATAATATATTATAATAATTTCTATAATATAAAAACTAAAATTATAAAATAATATCTTAATATTAAATTAATATTAAACATATATTATTTTATAAAATAAAAAAAAAAATAATTATATATACACACAAAAAGCTTTTCTTTTTTTTTTTTTTTCCAAAATATTTTAAATATATTAATTTTTTTTTTTTTCTTCTAAATATTTTAGTTTTAAAATTACACGTTGTTTTATTTAATTTAAGATATATAATTATATATATAAAAATACATTGATCTTTTTAGATCCAAAATATATATTATATAAATAGAAAAAAAAAGATAAATAAATAATTTTTGTTAATTGATTTTTTTTTTTTTTTGGAGCAAAGTGATTAGTTTACTCGTTTGATTCTTCTTCAGCAACAACTGGTTCTTCAGTTTTTTCTTCTTCAGCAGCAACTGGTTCTTCAACTTTGGTTTCTTCTTCAACAGCAACTGGTTCTTCAACTGGTTCTTCTTCAGCAACAACTGGTTCTTCAACTTTGATTTCTTCTTCAACTGGTTCTTCAACTTTGGTTTCTTCTTCAACTGGTTCTTCAGCTTTAGTTTCTTCTTCAACTGGTTCTGGTTCGCTAACGTGAGTTTCTCTTAATTTTTCTGAAACGCTATCATCATTATTAATATTTCTGAATCTGTCTACATCAGCTTCGCTTGAGGTGTTTGATTGGATTTGTTGTTCAACTTTTTCTACAGATGGAACATAGTTTGAATCTTTTTCAAGGTATGGGAATGGATTGTTTTCCCATTTTTCAGAGTGTTTTGGTTTACCAAAACCTTCATCTAAATTACCTTTGGTGGCATAGAGTTCTTTGAAATGTGGTTTACAGAAAATGATACCTTCTAATTGAACTAAGGTTCCAAGAGTTAAAATAACGTTACATTTGCTACATTTGAGACAAGCTTTATGGAAAATACGTTTGTTGTCAGTTTCTTCTAAGACAACTTTTTCAGTTAAATAGACAGATTTTTGGCATGATGAACATTTTTCAGAGTTATTAGCACTACCGAATTTTTTGGCTAATTCTGGGTTTGAACTTTGGTTGGTATTCTTTTCGGTGTTGTTGGCTTTTTCAACTGGGATGAATGAACTTGGGGCAGTGTTGACGGATGGATTCCATTTTTCGGTGTGTTTGGCATTACCGAAGCTTTCATCATAGTTACCTTTGGTGGCAAAGAGTTGTTTGAAATGTGGTTTGCAATAGTAAACACCTTTCATTGAGGCATAAGTACCAAGGTTGAGGGTGACTTGACAATGTGTACATTTTAAGCATTGTTTATGTAAAACTTTTTTATCTTCTTTGTCTTCAATAACAACTTTTTCAGTAATATAAACAGTCTTTGAACAAACATCACATTTTTCAAGACTACCTGAGAATCTACTGGCAATACCTGATGGAGTTTCTTTTTTATCTGAACTTGTGACTTTGGTTTCTTCTACTTTAATGAATTGAGCTATTGAAAAAAAAAAAAAAAAATTAATATTAAATCAATATTAATATTGGTATTGAGTCATTGCTACTTACTGTTACCAGTTGGGGTGGCTTGTGGAGTCCATTTTTCTGTGTGTTTAGTGTTACCAAAACCTTCATCATAGTTACCTTTGGTGGCAAAAAGTTGTTTGAAATGTGGTTTACAGAAGAAAACACCGTTCATTGAGGCATAGTTACCAAGACTGAGAGTAAGTTTGCAGTGTGAGCATTTTAAGCATAATTTGTGGAAAATTTTCTTATCTTCTTTATCTTCTACAACAATCTTTTCTGTTAAATATACAGTCTTTGTACAAGCAGTACATTTTTCTTGAGTGCCAATGATAACCATTCTGATATAAAAAAAATTATATTTAAAAAATTAATTTAATTTCTATTTTTTTTTTTTTTTAAAAAAAAATAAACAATTCATTATTTCATTATTTATTTGCTGATTCTTTTATTTATTTCATTATTTGGATTGATGATTAATATTTTTGTTTTTTTTATTTGCTGAATTTTTTTTTTTTCAATTTTTTTTTTTTTTTTTTTTTTCATCGTGATAGTTTTTTTATTTTTTATTTTTTATTTTTTGTTATTGCTCTATTTCTTCTAATTCCTTTATTTCTATTTTTATTTTTTTATTTTGATACATACTTGAATATAATTTGATTTCTTTAATAATGAAAAAAAGAAATAGTGGGAAATAAATAAATAAATAAATTACAAAGATGTAATAATAAAGTGTGTGCAGAAAAAAAAAACAAAATTGAAAAAAAAATTATTATAAAAAAATTTTTAAAAAAAAAAAAACAATAAAAATAAAAAAAATTATAAAAAAAATGAAAAACCCACTTTTTTTTAAAACCAACTTTTTCATAAAAAAAAAAGAAACAGTTTTTGTTTACAGAAATTTTTTTTGGGTGGTGAGAAAAATAAAAATAAATATGATTAGGTTATTATAATAAAAAAAAAAAAAAAAAGATCACTTTTTAATATTGTCAAGTTATCTTTTTTTATTTTTATTATTTTTATTATTAGTATTTATTTTAATGTTGTATTTAATCTTGTGGAACAATCTTTCATTAGTTTTCCCAAACTATTTAATTTTATTTAATTTAATTTAATAAAAATAAAAATAAAAATAAAAATAATAATAAAAATTAATTCCACAAGAATTTTAATATTAAATTAAATAAAAATATTTATTATAATTATTATTTTTGTTAATAGACAAATTTTGAAGAATTTTAAAGTTTTCTTCATCTGGATCATTATAACCACGAGAAAACGTTTAATTATTAATTCTGAGTAAAGGACTACAGCTTTGGTACTTATTGCAATGCAACCATGTAGCTCTAAAGCCTTGCATTCTAAAAGCTTGAGTTTCCATTGGACTGATTCAAGGAAATATTCCAAAGTTGTAGTTATGGACATCTTTTAGGTAAGATGTTCATCAATTACCAAAACAACAATTTAACTAAATTAGAGATTCTTCTGGTGGAGTGGGAAGTAGGAGCACCAGATGAGCTATGAGAGAAACCTCCTACACCAACACCTATTTAATTATTTAATAATATTATAAAAAAAAAAAAATTATATTAATTTTATTAAATTATTTATATATTATTAATTTTATATTTACCTATTATAATAAAGATTCAATTCAAAAGATTTATCACAAAACAAAGGCAAGAAACAAACTTTAATATAAAATTAATTTTATAAAGTTTGATTCTTGTCTTTGTTTGGTGATAAATCTTTCATCAATACTTCTTTATTTTCATGTTCCGTTTTAACCTGATTAATTGCTTGTAATTTGGTGTATATTTTTATCTTATTTTTTATATCATCAAGTAAACTATGAAAGGCTGCAACAGGTTTTTTTGAAAAATGGCTCTTTATAAAATAATTGACGATAATAACCAAAAATTTTACGATGTTCCTTGCTGACCTTTATATTAGCATTTCCTTTTTTGAAGAAGAATCTAGTATCTTGAGAGTTTTTTGAGATGGTGGGGCTTGATCTCGAGATTGTAGATCTGTATCTTGAGGTTGATCTTGAACTATATTTAATAAATTTTTTTTTTTATTAAATATACTTTAGTTTTATGAGCATCAATTTCTTTAACCAACCTAATTAATGTTTTGCCACTAACTGCAATAATAGCTAGTTTTTCAAAAGAATAGTCAAGCTTTGAAATGAAATTGAAAATTTTTTGTTGAAACAGCCTATTGATAAACGATTCCATTGTAATATCTTTTTTTTCATCACTGGAGTACAAAGGAATATGAATAAGTTTGTTCCAATAAATTGAATAATATTGAATCTTATGTTTCTTGAACTGAGGGAAAATTAGATCTTTGGGTTTAAAGTTGTTTTTGAAATTTGAACCGGTAGAGCTTACATTTTCAATCGTTACACTGTTCAAAGTGGTAACTTTTTTTAAAATGATGTTATGTTTTTCTAATTGATTGTGGTGAATATCACTATAATCTATGATTGGTTTTAATTTGCTTTTATCTAATATCCAACAATTTTCTTCATTTAAAAGACCACATAGTAATATTGATTGAAAAGCTGAGTTGAAAAAACAGGTATCACCATAATTTACAATACCATATGTTTTTTTAAATTTATAGCTTGAGTTTGAAGTTAATTGTAAAGTATCCATGGTTATTGTTGTTATGTTTTTTTTTCATTTGAATAATTTGATGAGTCACCTGGTAAGACACTATATTTCATAGTATAATAATAGTAATAATAATAGTAATAATAATAGTAATAATAATAATAATTATAATAGTAATAATATTAATAATAGTAAAGATGAAAATTATAGTTTTATTTTTTTGAAACTTGGTTTAAATATTTATTTTTTTTGAAAAAATTTAATATTTTTTTTGTCAGTAAAATTTTTTTGTCAGTATATTTCTAAAATTTTTTTTTACACATTTTATCAGTATATATTTTTGTTGGTATATTTATTTTTGTCAGTATAAATATCATTCAATAACATATGTTTTAAAAATAAAAAAATAAAAGATAACATATGTTTTTCATTGTTAAAATTCAACTAAATAAAAAAAATAAATAAAAAAAATCATTTTTATTTAAATATATTTATTATGCAGTTGGCTGAAAAAATACACAGAAGAGATCATTGGCAATGTGAGAAAAAACAAGGTTGATCATTGTTTTTAGTGAGACATTTTCTATGGGGAGTCATTTTTTTCTTTCTCTTAGACAAACTCTATAATCTTTCTGGAGAATGCATTGTCACTATGATTATTAATTTTATTTATATTGGTGTAAAAGTGATTCTGTGGGGTTTATTTGTTAAGGATTTTATTTCTTTAGAATTTTATATGGATATCTTTTGTATCTTTGATTTTTTTTTTTTTTTTTTATTATTTTTCATATTTTTTTTTATTCCTCATTATGTTCCACAAAAGAAAAAAAGAGTTTAAATTAAAAAAGATAAAATTTTAACACAATCTCCATAAAAAAATATTATTAATTAGGAATTTGTGGTTCAAAAAACAACAAAAATTAATTTATGTTAATCTTTGTTTTACTTTTTTTGCATTTATTATTATAATATTTTTTTTTATTTTTTTTTATCAAATTAATTTTTTTTTTTAATTTCTAATTTTTTTATAAATTTTTTTATTTTTTTTATTATTTTTTTTAAAATTATAAACTAATAATAGAAATAATAGAAATAATTTGTTTTTAAATAAAAAAATAAAACAATATGACAAATAGTAATATTTCTAGTGGTAATGATATAATCCCAAATAACATAAAAAATGAACATAATGAAGCTTTAGGTTACAACAATTTAAATAATACAAATAGTAGTAATATTGGTATTACCTCCAACACAAACAATACCAATATAGCCACAAACAATGCAAACCCCTCCAACAACACACCAAATATTAATATTAATACACCAAATATAACAACCACAAATATAACAACACCAAATAAAAGGTCGACTACAGCAACAAATAATACTAAAATTAAAAATAACTATACAAGATTACCAATTGATATAAGTAAAGATTCATTAACAGACCCAGTTAATATACCATCTAAATTCAAATTATTTCAAGCTTCGACCAATAACATTGGTAGTATTTTTGGAAGAATTCAATACAATTTATTTGATGGATTTCGTGTATCTGCTAGATCATTGGATAGCCGTATTAAAGCAACTTACGAGAAGCCAACTACACCATCTACCCAATCACCACCAATTAAATTTTCAGCATCATGGTACGAAACACCACGTGGTCTTAGAGAGGGTGACATTGGTGTAATGATACCAAATATTTATAGTATTTATAAAAGACAAAGTGCAAGCGTATTTCAAGTAGGTTTAGGCCTCGGATTACGTGTTCACAGTCTCAGTCGTATGATTATATCGCCTTTCATCAATCCAAGATTCACCTATTTTGGCAAATTTGGTTGGTTGCATTTGGATGTTCCAATTAATAAAAAGAGCAACCGTATCGTTCTAAAGCATAATATGTTCTTTTCTATTCGTGGTAACACTTTATTATCTAGTTTAGAAATCTCATCTCGATTAGGTGATATGTCTCGTTATTTTAGCGATCATTATTATAGTAATAAAGTTTTTGATGGTGATAATGATAATAATTTTAGTAGAAGTACAAGTTTTAATAGTTTGAGAAAATATCAAAATAATAATAATAATAATAATAATAATATAAATAATAATAATAACCAACATACAAATAATTATAGTAATCATAATAATTATCCATTAAATTCAAGTATAGGGTTACCAACTTTGTTGGATTATAAAAATAGAATAACTGAAGGTTCAAGATTTTTCGAAGTAATTCATTATAAATTGGTTCATGTTTCAAGTGCCACCGAATTTGGTATTCGAAGAATTTCTAAACTTTATGGTACTAAATGGCAATTGGAAATTGGCCTTAAACATCAAATTACAGCAGGTGGTGCACTCCAAAGTCTTTTTACCCATACAATTGGTGAAAAAACTACATTTGGTTTAAGTTTTGGTTTTGATTTATAAAATAACAAATAAATGGTATATATTTTTATCAAAAAAAATAAAATAAAAAAGTTATAATAATGACACATTAATTGTAAAAAAATTTAAAGAATAAAAATTTAATAAATATAAATAAATAAAGTAATGTTTATTTTTTAGTAACATTCTCTTTTTTTTCTTTTTCTTTTGTATCTTTTAAAATTTTTTCGATAATTTGTTGTTTGGTTTGAGTGGTCTGGGGTGGATCTCTTGACCTATTGTACACTTTAAGATCCTTTAAGTACTTTTTCATTCTTGTGTATTTGCTTTTACCCAACTGAAATAAATATTCCCAACTATATATACCTGTTTCGTGTAAATCATCATAAACTAATCTAATCGCATAGTTCCCAACCCTTTCTATTTTAGAAATTTTAACATTTCTTTTGCCTGATACTATTGATTTACCTTTTTCGACAGAGGGTGTTTCAATTCTGAGGAACTCTGACGAAAATGAATAATTGGTTTGATTATTATCATCAAATTTAATATCCAATCTCTAAAAAGAAAAGTGTTAATATGTACACATATCCAATGATTATAGGGTTTTTATGTTTAATTACTTTTCCTTTTTCAGTTAGTTTTATTTCGGTAGGATGCACATTATATTTTTCGCTTGAACTAAAATATCTTTTATAATTGTTATTATTAATAAAAAAATAGTTATTTATTGTATTGTAACATGAGGATTTGTTTAGAGATAATGATGCTATAATATATTTGTTATTGATGTTATTTATATTTTTGAAACTAGAGCTATTATAGACAGTTAAACAATTTTTGATCATTATTTGAAATATTTTTAAATTAAAAAAAATTTAAAAAAAATAAAAAAATAAAAAAAAACTTTTTTTATTATTCATCGAATTTAAAAAATTAATGTTTTTGTGTGTGTGAATGTGTGTTGTAAT